TTTGTGGTTACTCGCCGAAGCTTATCTATTAGCTAGTGTCATGACGGCATTCATACACATCTATGATGCTAACCTTATTTCCCTTGCCAGTGCAGTTATTGTCTAACATGAGTAGTGATAATACTTCATAAGTCATCGGTTCTGTTTTTGGTAACTGACCAGTTTCGAGAGCTTATACCTCGGGCTAGGGTTAAATTGGATGACTGCGGTTGGATCTGTGCATAAAGGTTAGAATTTTCTCCTGCCTGTTAGCACAAGGTCTTCTCAGGGTTGGAATGAGTTGATGTGTAAGTTATTAGAAAAAACATTTCTGAAGTAGCGTTTTCCTAGTAAGATCATCAAATTTTCTCAAAGTTTATCATTCGAGCACTCAGTTGATAAGTAAAGCTAGCATTCCCTGGATTACTGTTATACCTTGTAAAGGGAGCAAGACCTGAATCAAGCTTCACAAAGCCCTAGCCTGACTCGACCTCAAACTACTTTTGAGCTGAACCGAAATGATTCCAACTGGCTTGAGTCGATCTTGTTTTCAAGATATTCTGTTAGAATTTGTTCGGGTTATCCTATTTCGGATTATGCGATTGGATACGGGCCATGAAATCTATTGCTTATGTGAATATTTGTTTGATTGTCCCGTTGCTGTTGTTGTTGTTTATGTAATTATTTCGCGTTGTCGTTTATAGGATTGTTTCATGCGGTCATCACTGTGTTCATCCTTTTGTTGATCATTATCATGTTTTTCTTGCTGCCACGCCAGGCATAGTGAAGGGAAACATTGCTAGGCATTGTTTAGTGGCGTTCTATGAGCAAGGTAGAATCGCAAAGTGCACAAGGACTGTTCACAAATCCCCGGGTACAATTCGATGTCAAATGCTAGGGTCAGGCTCAAGTTTGATGCTTTTGCCTGGGAGTAAGCTAGCTACTTAGCTGAGATAGGATAAATTTGAAAATTCCAATGGTGCGTGGCGTGACATTTGTATAAATGTTTTTCCACGTGTTACCACACATTATGTACAAGCTATCGGTAACTTCGGTTTCAGTGAGCTCAGAATTGTCATGACGGCGACTACTGTAGTTCTGTGCCAGTGAATTTGGAGGAATTCAGCTGCTATACAGGTTGTGGTGTTACCACGATTGTTTGTATCACAGTTAGGAAAAAAACTTGGAGTTGGAAGGCTTTTCGAAATATCGAAGTGAAAAGCAGTTTCGAAAATGTGCTAATGCATAACTCTTTTACAGACACAGGAAAATATGACTGAAATGTCTGATCATGGACTGAGGAACATTTCGTAAGAATATCGTCACACATTCTTGAAGCATACTAAAACAAATCTTGCGGAATCAATTATGTTATTTCGCAAAACATTCTCTCAAATTCTATTAGAGGGAAACAGAGTTCATGACAGGCAATTCCTCAAATATCGTTCAGAACAGAATAGGAATGGAAAAGCAGGACGACCAATAGGGCATTTATGACATGACATTCGGTGCATACGAGAGTAAATCATGTGATGAGATCAGAAAGTATGAATGACCCTCAGTGTCTGATAATTAGGGGTATGCACAGAAAGAACTGACGTCTTTGAGTTCTGTTTAATTTTCCCTTTTGTGTAGAGCGTGCCATCGAAAAAACGTTCTGCATTTCTCCTTGGACGCCGTGGGCGAGGTTTCATATCAAAATCTTGCACAGTATCTGGACAACGCTTCTGAACTTACGTGTTCAACTTTCTTTCCATCAAACAAGAACTGAGTGAGGTAATTTCTGGATATAACTAAACGAGAACGATGGAAACTGGAATGGTGAATTGCTGATTTGCAAATTGCGAGGAAATGAGAGATTACTCTTACAAATAATATAATAGTTTCAGTCGTGCTTGGAAGGAGGTTGTTTTCATAGACATGAACTGAGATTGATGGGAATAACGTTGACTGTCTATTATTACAAGGTTATCCTAATTGTCGACAGTTTCATGCAGTCAAGGTACTGCTCCCGTTGGTTGCGTTAACTGTGGGCGTGGCTAGTTACCGTAGTCATTTGACTTCGGAGGCACTGATCTTGTTAGATGCACTGGCTGTGGGCGTGGCTAATCACTGTAGCCATTTAACCCCGGATGTACTACTCCCGTTGTTTGCCTTAACTGTGGACGTAGCTATATTTTCTTTATCGCTCTTAACCGCAAAAATTCTTTCGAGTGATTCAATTCAAGTAGAGCAACGAAAGCAATGAATTGATTTTACAGCTCTCGGTACAGTTGGCGGTGCTTGTGCAACATACTCGGCCGTACGTGAACTAACCTCAACCCGCTTCACAGTGCCATACTATGTGCAACCGTTCCTGAGTAACAACGAAACAAGTTCTGAGCATACGAATTTGAATTGTTGCGGATTCGGGCAAAATATCACAAGGTTCGACAGTATCGGTCACTGCTCACTGCCAACCGATTTCTACAATCAAAACTTGTAGCGTGGCTGCTGTCTCCGTCCGTTCACACTTCTGCTCATTCCTATATAAATAGTCCTCATAAGTTATAGTCAAGCAAACAAGTTCAATCTTTGGCTTGATCGGAATCTATCCAAATGAGACTCCAAATGTCCAGTTTGCATGATCGGTTCGGTTATGTTAAACGGTTTCTTTGTTGATGAGGATATTCGCCATTTATTGTGAATTTAACGAAAAGTTGACATTTAATTGCAAAGAAATCCAAAATTATTCGCTCACTCAAACTAATGATGAGACGTCAATTCGACACACAGAAATTCAAGCTGACATTTCATTGAATTAATTAATCTTACAACTTTGCGATAATCGAACCCGATTATTTTCTATTTTTTCAAAATCTTTGCATATTTCTATCCGTTTCCGTTATTTTTTCATTCTGTCTTTTTCCATTAATACTTACAAATCCATTCATTAGTCATGTATTGAATTTTTCCTCATCTTCATTCGAAAACATATCAACGTTACGAGTTGTTATGATTATACATAAGATGATATTTATATATACAATTATACATATAAATAGATAGATATGTGTTTATATATAATGGTAATGGTGTCTCCATTATATATGAATCCGTTAGGTTTTCTTTCTGAGCCACTCTTCTTTTTCAGCGTAGTGATTTGTTAGAAAATTAGGCACCGATATCGTGAATCCACGATATACCCTAAGAATATAGGCCTCCTTTGATTGTAAGTTCCATGGAAAGGATGTACTCCACATTAGCGTCGAGGTACGCAATGAAATCCTCGGATTCAACGGATAACGCCCATGTTTTGATCAAGACGGTGGTGATTTTCTGCAATATTTGATCATTACACCTGTGATCTCAGCAGAATCAATGAGTCCTCGCATGATTTTTTCGTGATCAACATTTAGTAATTGGATCGTTTCGTTGACCGCAACGGAAGATTTGTCAAGGGAGCAGCCAGCGGCGATATTACGATAAATAATGAGCAAACACTGATGAGAGAATACCGTTGATGTGCCGTTGATTTTGAAAATGATTGTTTTTACTCTTTATAAATATGCAATTATTGTTTATACAGTGCGAGGAATGTTGACGTGTGTAATAAAAATAAAACTTGCTTCGATATCCGAAAGGAATTCTGAATTCAGAAGAATGCTGAACATGAACAAAATTCTTCGATTGCTTTTGGAATTGAACAGAGACTCGAAGTTGTCTACGTTGATATCAGAGTTTTTAGGCTTTTAATAATATCTTAAACGATACAGCAACACACCTGAGCGGACATCACCACAAAGGATTAGTTGACTAATGCGTGGAAATAAAAATTCACTATGGGATGGATTCTGCAATGAGCGTTACTCTATGACAATGATTTATTGGCTAAATGCAGTCACCTTCAACTGATTGCTTACCACCAGAGTACATCGCTTTGAAAATATCTTACTTCATTCTATCTCCATCAAAATCCAGTTTTCTGCAAATTAAACACAACTTAACTTGCAATACTACAATGCCGGAATGAATAGCGCATGGAAACAGTGTGGCCAAGCATGCGGCGGGCATTTTTGTTGATAAAGTTGCAGTGAACTCGATTATTAATAAAGGTGTTAGGCAATAGTCATCCCGATTTTGAAAATACTCTCAGTAAATGATTGTTCCCAAAATGAATCAGACTAGAAATCATCACGTCACGCCTAGAGATGATTCACCGAAGGTCATTTGACCGTCACAGTTTGAAGGCAATTTAGCGAATCGGACCTTTAAAATGTGTTGACGATAAAATAATAAAAATGATAAAAATAAAGGTGATGTAACATGATTAAACATTATATGACGATAGCAATGCGCATGATGCTATATGAACTTGTTAATTGATCTATAGTGATCAATTTATGTGAATGAGCGCGATTGCGTTATTTGAGATAGATGTGAGAAAATAGCTATATCTCCTCAAGAAAGCAAAAACGCTGAGTAAAATTCACACATTCTGAATCTAGAGATAAAGTATAAATGTATTATATATAAGTATACGTATGTATAAAGATAAAGTAAATATATATGAATAAAGTAAATCAAGAAAAAAAAAGTGGAGCTCCATCACAAGCACAATGTCTCTAATTGGTTTCGTTAAAGTTAGGGGAAATTCTTTGGCCTCAATGCCTGTCGAAATTGTTAATTCATTTTTCGTACAAATGAATTTTTTCAAAAAAATCATAAAATGACACATTTTTTGGTCCTTTGAGAAATCCAGCAGAAAAAAAAACCGCTATGATCGTGCTTCAAAATCGAGCAGGACTTAATTTTGGGATCAGAAAACGAGAATAGCTGCGGCTGTTGAGCTGATTTGTGTTGCATAACACGTTCAATGCCTCATTCCAGCTCGATTGATCAAAAAAATCATAAAATGACACATTTTTTGGTCCTTTGAGAAATCCAGCAGAAAAAAAAACCGCTATGATCGTGCTTCAAAATCGAGCAGGACTTAATTTTGGGATCAGAAAACGAGAATAGCTGCGGCTGTTGAGCTGATTTGTGTTGCATAACACGTTCAATGCCTCATTCCAGCTCGATTGATGCCAAACTGGTGATACTTTAAAAACATGAATCCAGTGGCTGAAAATCCTGAAATGACGATTTTTTGTGGTTTTTGGAGTCTCGAAAAGCGGGTTTCCGTTGGTCGATCGGAATAATTCTTGCGATATTTTTACTCAGATGGTGACGATCACCTCAAAGCCGTTTAGATTATCTCGAAATATCAATCCGGAGCTGAAATATGATGTCCCGAAAATCCGGATCATGAGATCTAACGGGTGTGCAGAAGTGACCTTGTTTAGTTCTCTTTTGCACGAAAGAGAACTTGCACAGTTCTCTTCAATGTAGAAGAAATATAGAAGAAAATTGTTTCACACAACTGCTCATTGCACTGAAGGTCTCAGGTTCAATCCCGCGCAGCGTCGATAATTTTTGACATATTTCGGTTGCATCTTTCCAAAAACTTTTCTAATCCGCAAAATTTTTGCCATTAAAGAAACGAGCGATTTTTTTTGAATTTCCGTCGGCTCTCAGAACGAATTAATGCAGTATCGAACTTTGAGTGTTGATATCATGTTTCATTCTTTAATGTGCTCCACAGTGTCAATTTTACGGAATTTTTTTGCCGTCCGGAATGCCCGGAAACTGTGGTCGGTTCGCGTGAGCCGACCTGTAATTAATTTCAGCTTTTCTTCGGGTTTTCGGCTGTTCATTTGTTAGCCATTGATAATTGGTGAGTGGTTAACGAGCGAGCAGTCAAACAAACGAAGAATCAATGCCCTCTCCGATAACCGATATATTTTATTTCGTTGAAAGTTTGGCACTTATGCCGTTTAGTCCCACCACCCGCACGCAGACAAGCGTGCATTACCATTTGCGCTTTCAACAACACCGCCGCACGTCGTCATGCGCGCTTTAGGCCACGCCCATTCTGTTACGCTGCTTTCGGTCATGCCCTAGCACCCAGTGGGCGTGGCTACGCACGCGCGCGCGTGATCTTGCGTACGGGCGGAGGGACTAAACAGCATAAGTACCGAAAGTTTCTTAGGAGTTGCTTTCATGAAATGTCCGCAACTTAGGAGTTGCTTTCACGAATCGATCTTTAATTAATTACAGGTTTTCTTCGGGTCTTCGACTGTTCGCTTGTTATCCACTGTTAACTGGTTAGTGGCTAACGAGCAAACAGTGAAAACAAACGCAGAAGCGATCTTCCATTCAACAAGCAAGATATTTTATTTCGTTGAAAAGTTCCATATGAACACAACACACGTTTTTAATATTCACCTTTATTCATTATAATATAGGTATACATCATTACTACTTACATCATCACTTTCACTATATAGTCACAACAATCTTTTAATCACATAATAACCATCACCGGTTCATTCATAATTTTTATCAACAACAATTAAAAACTAATGAAGATTGCATGAGAATGCTCATAGCATTATAAAAAATCCAGTAAACTTAAATAAATATCACTGTAAATAGAGTAAAAAATAATGAAAGATAATGACAACTTCGTTATGAATATAAATTACACCTGTCAAGTTTTAATTTCTTGAAACTGATTAAAAGGAAGACGAAAGTCTTCCATAATATTTTTATAAACGATTACAATGTCGTTTCAAATGCATAATTACAATTACGACTACATTCAATGAAACATACAAAATGAAACATTTCGACAATATCAAAACAATTTGACAAACAAATATCGAAAAGAACACAGCAAAAACTAATGAAAACTCGATCATGAATGTACATAGGAACAATCATATTCTGATTCCTTCAACTACGCACACAAAAGCTCAGTCTCGAGCCAATTTGGAGCAACTACAAACAATATTTCGCAGTTCAACGTCAAAAACTAAGCGAACCAGATGCTGGAGAGCATCAATGGCAAATAGTGTAAGCCTTCAAATAAAAAATACCTCGAATTTCACAAAAATACTCAATAAAGACGGCAAATCAAACGTTCAAATAAAATTTACGATTGAAGTAATTCTTCACAAATATGTTTTGAAGGTCTCTAAAGCGGTTCAGATGGCGTTAATCAGCACTAAATTGGGACTACTTAACAAACAGAACATGCGGAACAATAATCATTGTGACATATATAAAAATAACTTAGCCATTCACTATAATCATTAATAAATAATTAAAAAACTGCAATTAATACATTTTTTAAGCGCTCACGCACCGCAATGCGTCTCGGCTCATTGCCAATAACGGGCCGGCGCACGGATTCACCGAGTGAAAAGTCCGAAAAGTGAGGGGTCGGCAAAATATTTTCACGATAAGATCCTATTATCGATTTTGCGCTCAAACTCGATCAGCACTGAATTATTTTGGATTTTGATTTCGGATTAGAATTTGGAACCCTTTTCTCGATATTTCTGACACTCGCGATGTCGATTTGGTGAAAATTCGGCAAAGCTACAAGCAAAAAACTGCCAA